TTTCAGCAATGTCCAACCAACTATCTTCAGATAAGTTATTCACAATGATTAATACCTCTGAACTCAGTTCTCGTAATAGGTCTTTCATATTCCAGGCTATCAGCTACACAGTTATTACGTGTGGGTTGATCATACTACCCAGTTGTCCAGACCGAAGTAGGTGGAGTGAAGATTGAACGCGCGACCCACTGGCTAAAAGTCGAGTGCTCAAGTGAATGCGCCACGCTTCCACTACGACTTCAAAGGCATTATCTACCAAACTGCAGGACCAATGGGTGGAAATTTGAATGAGATTTAAATGTAAAGTACTGGGCTGTCAAGAAGTACAAATATCAGTGAGACGAAGTAAGATTTAGATGTTCCAAAAGATGAAGACCAAAGATCCTCCTCTTTTCAATCTCAAGATGATATAATGTTTCAGTTATATAAGCCTAAATGTTTTTTGGTCTAATAACTTCTCACTCTCCTTCACCAAACTATTGATTCATAAAACTGATTGATTGAGATGAGTAGTTACACACCACTTGTATCAATCAGTAGTGCTTGTTGGCTAGCCAGATCGGGATGATCTAAACACCGGACGACCGACTGGGTTGTTTGGAGTCGAGCTTCATCAGCGATGTACCCGATGTAACTCAGCTCAAATAGCCGAATCAGTTCGATTCCCTCAATTTCTTGCTAGTTATTTGGGCACACTAGTCACACAATAAATGAATTTCCAAGTTTGCAAATTGGTTATCACTTTGCAATGTAGGCATCGTCATCGAACAAAGCATAGAATGGCAGTCAAACATTTCCCTACCTCAACTTCCTTCATCGACTTCACAAAGGCCTTCGACAGACAGCGTTGACTGAGAGGTAATTCGGAAACTACTTCAACACTACGGCGTGCAATATACAAGTCTTTATCAACCTCATTTGACAAGCTGGCTATGTGACAATGTTGTGTGTCAGGTGATCCGCAACCGAAAACTCAGTGAGGCGTCCGAAGTGAAAAAAAGAGTAAGACAAGGCTGGCTACCTATTATCGCCGATCCTATTACTATCTGTGATGGACTAGATTATGCGCCACACTGTGCGTTGGGATCAAGAAGACAGGAATACGTTAGAATGACCGATAAGAAGACCCTAGAATATTTGGTTTTCGTGCGAAGACTTCCTGGTGAAAACCAAAAAATTGGCAGAAATGGCTGGCAGGCAGCGAAGAGAGGACTCCAGGTGAACATTGAGAAGATGGAGGTGATGAAGATAACCAACCAACCGCAACAACAACAACAACAAACAGGACCAATCAGCATCGGCGGGAGAGAGATTTGATGGAGGTTACGTCCTCCACTTATCTAGGAGGCAAGGTTTTAACCCCAAGCAATCGGAAGAGATGGAGATGTCAATGCCAGTTAGAATCAGAGAAGCAAGATACGCCTTCATCAAACTGAAACCAGTTTGGAAATCTTATGCACTCAAACAGCATAAAGAACAAGATTCGGATTTTCAACTCAGTCACCTCTTCTGTGTGGCTTAGAAACTTAGCCGGTGTGTCACGAGAAGCATTTCCAACAGGCTACTACAGACTTTTATCAGCAGCTGACTTCACCTAGCTCCATAGTGAAAATCGAATGCCCGGCCAGAAAAAATTAGTAACAAGAGAGTATTGCTCAACAGATAAGTAGAGAAAAATGGGGAAGGATGGACACATGTAGAGGAGGGCGTCAAATGACACGGTGCACCAGGTTCTTCAGTGGAACTAGAATGGGAAGCGATGAGCGGGTCGTCTTAGGGTGACATGGAGGAGATTGTGTGAGGCGGAGGTAGAAGACTATAGATAGTTGTGGGGAGTGTTAAAGAGGACCACAGAAACTAGGACAAGATGGAGATATACTGCTGAGGCAGTGTATTCCACTCGGAACCCCCAAGGGAATAATTATAATCATTATAATGTACATAGTTCAAGAGGTGAAATTTCCTCTGGAAGATAAACTATTCAGATCACACAGTGTGTGATCTTCTTGATACAGTAAATGCTAATCAAGAAAGCAAGTATCCTATAAGCATTTTCTTCATTTCTTGATTTGAAACTCATGAATACTTGATAGCATTGACTTGTTCACAAATATTTTAATATACCACCATAAATTACCTTTACTACCAAGATCAGTACCCAATTTTGAATGATAACAGTTGTAGGCTGATTATTTTGGGGAATTATATGCGGATACAGCATACTATTTAGTAATCATATTCTGATGTTGGTATGTATTGGTGAACTCTAATATTTTTGCTTTGATAAGCTGCGTATTCCTGCCTTCTAGTCGGTCAGAATGCAAGTTTCACAAAAACAATATAGTGAACAGCAACAGCACAGAAAAGGAAGTAATACTGAGATAAGCAATGAGAACCTTCGAGATTAAAAATAATGGTTGCATGATCGCTAAGATAAATATTTGAGATATCGAAAACTACAAGTAATGCATGCATTTCTTGTTAGCATAGTCGGCTTTGAGATATGCTTCAATGTTTCAGCCAAAAAACTCGCTCTGCACTTTGAATATTTAAGCTTTGAATAATAACTGTATCTCTCAAACATGGAACTTTGGTTTCACGTGAAAAATAGGTCGACTAAGTACATTCAATTCGCCTGAATCTATCTTAAGTGGCCTAGTAAACTTCAAAGTATCTGCAAGACTGTTTTACTGAATGGATTGAAATTCTAGTGATATACATACATTCATTGTATATCATATTCTACTAATTCTGTAGTGCTTTTCTTTTTCCTCACATTTTCTTTCTGTATTTGGTATATTTGTTAACACTGATGTCATAATTATCGTTACATTTTCTAATTTCTGGGCTGCTTTTTTTTAATTTCATTATTCCATATTAGATAAGTTTATTTTAATAATCACATACGGATGTAGTATTAACAAGTGGTTGACATTTCGAGTATAAATTATTGCTCATAATCATATCAATCTATTCACACGTTTTCACAATTAGTCTTATATATATATATATATATATATATATATATATATATATATATATATATATATATATATACTCTGTTCTGTCTCTCCAGCCTCCCTTTGTTGTTGTTACCACTTTCCATATTTCCGGTATAGGCATTGCGTCATTCCGATTGCACGTGTGCGGTGTTGAAGTGATATACAAAGCTTCAGTGATTAATCTCTCTCTCCACCTAACTATATTACTTTTTAATACTCTCACCCTGTTCCACCCTATTTTGTGATTCCGTGAGAGTGAACGCAGTGCGATGACTGAGCTTTTTTCTAGGTTATTTAACTTAGCAGAGTCAGCTGTTCTAGGGCTACCTAAATTTTTATGTCCCAATAATCTAGTTGACCCTGATCTACTAGTTTGACCTATGTTATTGACCTCACAGTCATTACATAGTACTTGGTTAATATTATTTTGCTTAATTGCATCTATTGGGTACTTAAGACAACAAAGTTTATTTTATGGAGGATTTAATCATGAGCTGACATCAGTTAGAGAACCACTGGAAAACCTGGGAGTACTGGACAGCTGTTTCGTCCTAGTTTGGGACTCCTCAGCAGTACGCACCCACCGGGATTCGAACCCAGGACCTTCTGGTTATAAGGCGAGCTCGTAGACCATTGAGCCACTGGGACCCGATCCAATGGTCCTTGAATTCTAACTTCTGCCAGTTCACGATATAGCGCGACCAAAAACCAATACTTGAAAACAAAGTTTATCTCTAAGAGAGTTGTTTGATTTATATGCCACTCTGATTCCAGCGTCATAGAGTATTCTACGTAAGGCGGCTGACGTTCCTCCTTTATACGGCAGTGCTACAAAGGCTTGGGATTCGATATTATTTCGTCACTTTTATTGCTAGTCTTGTTTTTCTATTATTCTTCATATGTTTCTGAATAAATTCTGGTGGGTAGGTATTCATTAGTAAGATTTTCATTGTGCATCCGTGGTATAGCGGTTAGGACGCTCGCCAACCATGCACATGGTCCGGGGTTCGATCCCCGGTTGACAAACTCCTTTACCTTGCTAACTCAGTAATAAAACTGGTAAAGAGGAAAGGTTGGGCATGAGGTTAGCAACCCCATCTTGTAAAATAAACGCTGCTAAAGAAACTTCAAGCCACTACCTTGAAGCCCTATGTTCCACTGGGAACGTGAAGGAAAAAACAAAAAAACAACAACAAACAACTACCACACTATTTTCATGATTATGAAAACGAAACTGACAATCTTTACTAATAAAAATTGAACACAGAATACAACTGGAGTAAATTTGTATACAGGCTTTCTGAATGCTATCGCTAATAAACAAATCTGTTCATCATTAGATAAGTAAGGCTAAACATAATAATTAATCATAAGGTTAAAAATTGCTGTCTCTTTATTATTCTGTAAGCATCGATGGAGAACAAATAAATTGCAATAAAATAACTTCATTAATAAAAATAATGATCGGTAATAAACAGTAGTGATATTTATTCATATAAAATAAAAATACACCCATATTTAGAATATGAACATTTTATTCTGTAGGGATTCGGAATAACTTCTGTGTATACTTTGTCACAAACCAGGGAGCATTGGACAGCTGGTCTCATCGTAGTTTAGGACTTTTCAATGATGCGCATCCGGATGACCCTACCAGGAGTCAAACCCAGAATCTTCAAGATACGAGACCAAGCTCGTTGACCATTCAGCCACTTTGAATTCTTACCTATATCGAATAATGATATTGTGCTACCCTAAACCAATCTCTTCACAATGAGCATCATCCACTTCATCTAGACATGGTAGAACCTACTGGCCCTGACTTCTCATCACAGCTCCAGTATACCTAGCCCATAACGATCAATGAACTGGAGATTGGTACTTAGATTCTAGGTATTTTTCGGGTATACGGATTAAATTCAGTGTGGGTTTCACTGTCTGTTATATTGAAGAAATCTACACAGGATATATTAAAGCACAATAAATCTATCTACTTACCTCTTTAGTCAACTTCAATGGTACAGATTTAACAAAACGTCCCAAATTCAAATCAAATAAATTCGTATTGAATGGTTCATTGGAGGTGAGAAAACTATAGAGAAGTTTACTTTTTCGTAGAAATGGTTGTGCAACTAAATACTGAAAAAGATTTAAAAAAAGACAAATTGAGATAAACGAATAATTATTATGTGAAAATAAGTTAGAAAAAATAGCACTATATTTTGCGGAGAATGATTATATATATATATACTCATTAATCTAGAGGAAGTAAGACTATATCAAAAAGTCCTATACACTAGTTACTTTTTAACGACGATGTTAGACCATGCTGAATCGCATGACTCTTCCTGAGGTAAAGTGAGTGATTTTACGTTGTAGGAATAGACATACTTTACTACTTCGTTATTCATCAGCAAACAATTCATTCCAAATCCCTGCAAGCCAGACTTGGAAATCAAAGTGACCCACACTAGCGACTAGTTCTATGCAGGAAGTTATGTGGAATTCTGTTGAAAAACTCTGAACAGTGGAGCCCAATAAGTCAAGTAAGAGAACAACTACTTGCCGATGACATTGATTTGCAGTTGCGCTATATACAGCGAATTGGCAGAATTTGTAATTCATTTGCAACTGGATCAGTTTCCAGTGGCTGAATAGTCTACCAGCTCACCTTGCAGCCGGAAGGTCCTGGATTTCAACATAGGTAGGATGTAGTACTAAAGATTCCCAAATTATTTTGATTGGACACTAGTAATTAGTGTGATGTGTCTGGTCCTTTCTTCGCTGCACACTGAATTCTATCAGTCAGCTTTGTAATGTGGCCACCATTCTAGGTAGCTCGCCATCACGGCACACATTGATTTGATGATATTAGATGGTTGGAGGCGATCAGCCACAGGAAGCCTTGAACCTAGGTTTCATGCTAGTTGGCCCTCATCAGCGAGGTGTATCTGCAACCTTGAAGGAACTCATGTCCCTTCTGAGATTCGAACCCGCGTCACCCAGTGCTGCAGTTAGAGGCGTTACCACTGAGCTATTCGGGCTCGCGATTGACCTCCTACAGTACTGTAGTGGCGAACTCGAATACCTCAGTGGTAACGTCTCGGACTGCAGCACTGGGTGACGCGGGTTCGAATCTCAGAAGGGACATGAGTTCCTTCAAGGTTGCAGATACACCTTGCTGATGAGGGCCAACTAGCACGAAATCTAGGTCCAAGGCTTCCTGACGATTGCCTCCAACCATCTAATACCATTCCCAAATTAAGATGAAACAGCTGTCCAGTATCCCTTTGATTTTCCAATGGTTTTCTAACTGATGTCATCTGGTGACCTAACCAGTAATCGATCAAATACCTGCAAACCAACACACTTGAAAAACATTTTATTATCTACAATACATCTAGCAATCAATTCCAATTTTTTAGCCGATAAAACTTGAAGGCTTAACTCGCGGTGCTTATCACCAAAGCAGATAACCGTTTTGGAGCAGTACGAAGTTTTAAACAGGACTTCTGTGAGTTATGCAGTTTAGGATAGGGAACAGCTTGCTGCAACATTTGATGGCTTTGTGATCAACTCTTCCAGAAGAAGTAGGTGGGGACTTTTGCAGTATTAGCTGGATACGGGCAAGACAGTTGTGCTTATGGTTTGCAGTGACAGCAATCAACGGTGACAACTATTTTACCACCAAACTGTTGAGTCGTTTATAACTTGAAACTACGATGGTATGTCAGAAAATAAAGTCTACTCAATAAGAATGACATTTGTCTCTCACCAGAGGATTATTTACGCGTTTTATTTCAGTAAATAATTTTTTACTGATCCTTTTGACACTTTTTAGTAAAATTCCTCTCCTCGATGCAATTCATATGGAAACATAATTAACATTTTGCACAAGCAACAACACAGCTACAACTACTACGATCGATGCAAGCTTACAATTTAAACACAGTTTCCGTCTATCATCTGTTTCTGATATGGCTCAATTATGTGACTTTAATATAGATGAGCAACATGAATATGTGCATTACAAGAAGTTATTGGATAGTAGTGTTTTTAAGGTTTCCTATAATGCCTTTCTAATATATCTATTTCTTGCTTACAACAGACTAAACGATTAGACGCTTTTTTCTTAATAGGCGGACTCAGTGCCAATCGAACCGGACAAATAAAATAATTCACAAACACACACACATTTGGCCTTGTGATTATCTTTATTCAAATTTTACTATTCTAATGAACAGTACGTTGCTATTATATAATTCTTAATGAGCTAGGAGTCCATATGATGGAGAAACAAAATTTACAAAATGGAAGACTTGGCGTACATCAACCGGCACACACACACACACACGTGATGCAACTCACGAGACAGAGGCTGATATACTTCGAAGTTAACTGCAACTCAAGTTTTGTTAGTACTAAACTTCAATGCTTTTAAATCACGTGTCAGTGAGTTGAATAGAATATATTGATTAACAACCACCCAAAGATAGCATTTTGTAGAAGAGTGAAGTCGTGAAATAACACACAAATAACCTAATTTTACCTCACCGGCTAAATATTTTTGAGTTATGTCTTCAGTGAGTAGAAAGCGCAAAGTTTTAGATACACTTTACACATTCTCTCTGTTTGCCATAATCTGGAGAAAACATGTCTACAGTTGATGGATGAATGAATTTCCAGTGTTCGGAGATGTAATACTACAGAAGTTGTAGTAAGAAAATACTGTGTGACTGGAATGGCTTTATTGCATGCCCCTGCTTAATTGTAACCTCGTAATCCGTCGCTACAGTGGTTTACTGGCAAGTTATGCCTTCTATATGCTTTTTAAATGAAATTCTGCAATGAAAAGTTTTTTACCTGAAGTAACATATTATTGGTGGTATTATATTCTTGAACTGCGTTACATTTGCCACACTTTTATCAGAGAATGTTACTTGATACTGATATCTGTGTAATGTAATGGATTCAGGTAGGCAGTAAGTTCAAATGTTAAACGTATACTTCTGGTTTTTCATGAAATCATGCCAGTGTATTTGGTGCATTGATTATTGAAACGTGACAATACACAGAGGATAATGTAGGTGGCCCTACTTCATGAAAGGGATATCCTATATAGTCGCCCGTGTGATTGAATTCGGAAAACTTATCTGATACCACAACAATTACTAGAATTATGCGAGTAACCATTGTGTAGTATTCTCAGCTTTGTCATCATTTGCACTTCACTAAGGTTTTGTTCTTGTTACTCAAATAACTAGCGAGTTTCAACAGGGCAGCCGGCTTAAACCACTGGGCTAACAGAATCACCATCTATCAATCAAGCAGTTATATCAAATGATCCTTACACGAACTCGCACCCATATCTTATTAGCTCCTGACTAGATGCTGTGAAATACTAGCAGAATTGGTTCTCTCTACCTACACAACAACCCTACGACAAATGATATACCTCAGATTATTACTTTACATGTTAATCCTGTATAAAGAAGAAACATTTTGGAACTAAATACCCTGAAAATGATACAAACGTCAAGTCAGTCAGTTCTTCTATAAGGATCAGAAACTTGGCGGGTGGGTCATAAAGAATATTTTCAACAGCGTGTTGCAGACCTTCATCAACAACTGTCTTCGCTGGATCTATACTGAAGATCAGATGGCCGGGCCGGAAATAATCACCAACAAGAAACTATGGGAACAAACAAAACAAGAACCAATCGCCAACCAAAAAATATGCAAGGGAAAGTGGAGATGGATTGGACACTCGCTAAGAAGGCCGCTGGGTAACATCGCGCGCGCGTCAGGTCATTGCTCGAGTGGAACCAGGCCGAAAGGGAAGTAGTAAGTGGGAAGTCAGTGCAAGGGTGACATGGAAGAGATCGTGTGAAGAGGAGTTGAAAGAGTATGGACTAACATGGATGCAGGTAAAAAGTACAGCAGAAGACAGAAGTGGCAAGTGGAGACGTGCAGTTAAAGCCTATGTTTCACTAGGAACCCAAGGGAACAATAATAATAAACACTGAAAATGCCTTTACTGTGTGTTCACACATTGTCTGAAATAAAGCTTTACTATTAATATTATTATTATCATTCAATGGAAATACAGAAAGCACGTAACACGAGGGTGACTGGTTTCACGAATAACCGATGTGGAAACATAAACTGATTGAAACGATTGTAATGACTGTTGTGGGAGTCTGGCGACACAGCAAGAGTTAAAATGATGATCAGAATAAATAATAAAGAGATGATTGAAAAATAGTGTGAAAAAAACCACCCACCTAAAGTGCAAAGGGACGCAAAATAATAAGGAATATGAAAATACAACAAAAATTCAACTGAAGTAAATACTTTCATCAAGAATGAAACGACAAACAAAAGAAATGAGGAGAGAAAGAAGAAGAAGAAGGGCGAACAAACGACACAAAAATATATTCAATAGATGACCCTAAATATTTATAATAGGTCATTGTTTAATAAATAATCAGAAATGAATTAATAAACCTTTCCTGACTTCATATATATAACTTCATAATAACAAAAAGGTGAAAAAGGATATTTTTGCAATTCAATATTTGAATAAAGCGTTTTGATTTTAATTAAAAGAGAAAATAAAGTACATTTCGATTGTTCTATTATAGATAAAATTTTATTTCGATAAAATCACACAGTGTTTGTTATACAGTAATATTTACTGATGACCACGTTTCGAGCGAGTTTATACGTCGGTGGCACAGCGGTAGAATGCTCGACAACCCAGCAGGTGGTCCGAGGTCCGATTCCCCGCCGACCCACTCATTTACCTCGATAAGCCACTAATAAAACTGGTTAAGAGGGTAGATTGGACATAAGGCTAGCAGAAACCTCATCTCGTAAAAAAATAAACACCACTGCTACCGAAACTTCAAACCTCTAGCTTGAAGCCCTATGTTCCACTGGGAACATGTATGAATACAAAAAAAAACGTTCCGAGCACAATTTATCACTGTTCATAATTATATCAAGATACTCAGATAACCTGCTTGCTTCGTGTATATGCATGTGTAGAAATTGATGAGGTGGAGAGAGATTGATTACTCAATGCTGGTTCATCGAGTCTACATCCAACGCATGCAATAGAAGTGACTCAACGCAAATGCCAGAGGCATGGAAGATATTATTACTAGTCAAATCAGAGGAGGATAATAAATAATCTTAAAATGTATTTCAATGCACATTATAGCATTTTAACAGGTTATTTATTTTACCATAAAAACATTTTATCGACTAACAATGATCAGCTTATTTCCCATTTTACTGTATTTTATTGATAAGACTAATGTTATTCCCGAATGTAGTTTATCTTATATTAATTTCATTGGGAAGTCCCATCAGTTTTTACTCATGTACATAAATGAAGCAAGAAAGTTGTGTGAGTAACTTGATAAGACTATGAGCAGTAATAAATTGTGCTCGAAACGTGATCGTCAGTAAATATTAACTGCATGACACTGTGTGATTTTATCAAAGGGAATTACACGCTACAGTAGTGCCCAAGTTTTATCCTTATATCAATAATACATTTTCATTGCTTTATTGATTAGTAAAAGAACAAAAAGGGCTATTTTTTCCCCTCAGAAACCATTCTCCAATCCATCACCAGTAAGGTTAGAGCATTGCCCTTAAATTCACCAGTTTTAATAAACAAGTCTCGTCAGTCTATGGCACTGAATACTATTTGATGATAGTTATATCTAGACAGCATGACATCAGGTGTCGTCAAGCATGACCACGAATGGAACCCGAATAGAAAATAATAGGTTGAGCGTGTTTCCAAGGGTGATATGGAGAAGATAAGAGCTTGTGAGAAATCATGAGAGACTGGAGGGAACACGATAAAATGGAAATGCGCAGTTGACGCTCGGAACAAAGTTATCTTCATTACAATACAATCACTGAGGCATGAAGTACCCACATTCTAACCTGATAGTTCAAGAGTCATGAACGCGAAATACTGCAGAGTACTGAATTCGGGCTACAGGCGATATCGATTTGTGATGATATCTACCTTCAAAATTTTAAAAAGCAGTCAAAACTCAGCCAGAAAGTATTCTAAGAATACTTCACCAGTTGCTTATTCTTATTAAGAGATGAATACCAATTGGTTGGAAGTCTTGCTAAGTTTCAGATATAATGAACTAGTACACTAACAATGAACACTAGGATAGACACCATATTTAGCTTGTTCTTTATCTTACCTTGCTGAAAAGCGGAACATTGAATTAATCAGCTAAATTCAAGTGTTGGTTTGTGGGGATTTGATTGGTTGCAGGATTTCATCATGAGCTGACATTGGTCGGAGAACCATTGGAAAACCTGAGAGTACTGCACAGCTGTTTTGTTCTAGTTTGGGACTCTTCATCAGTACGCACCCACCAGGATTCGAACCCAGGACCTTCTGGTTACCATATACCATTAAGCCACGAGCTCATCTTGTAACCAGAAGGTCCTGGATTCGAATCCTGGTGGGTGCATACTGATGAAGAGTCCCAAACTAAGACGAAACAGCTGTGCAGTACTCTCAGGTTTTCCAATGGTTCTCCGACTAATGTCAGCTCATGATGGAATCCTGTAACGAATAAGCTAAGTGTTTTACTTTATGCTAATAAGTTATAATATCTTATGGAAGTGTTACCAACTGCTTATCATATAAAATAAAGGTTAACTGCCACATCTATTCTACTCTAAGATATATGGCAGTTTTTTTTAATAAAATTCACAACAGCTTACCAATCCGGTAGCGATATGTTTATTAACAATAACTTATCAACAATTTATCAGCATGTGAAGGCAAGCAGTGATAATTAACGAAGAAAATTAGTTGGGATTTTATGACTACTTCATCGTTAATTACAAGTCACCATTATCCAAATCGTTTTATTTCCTTTAATTATCTGTAATGTAATCGACTTGAGCTCACGCTTACTCCTTAATTACTCTTCATTTTTCCAAAATTATGCATTAAACAATCGACTTATTGTAACCATTTCTACCCTTTTTAATTGTGCTTATTAGTTTTCTTCGTTAATTACCACCTCTTGACATGTTGATATTGATCTATTATTGTTAACAAACATATTGCCAGTTGATTGGTAAATTGTGGTATATTGTAATAAAAATGCCATACTAATATATATTAGAGTAGAGTCAGAGATGAGGATCTAATTGAAAAGTGAATATTTCTTTGCTCAATCATTTTGCTTTCTCATTGTCTGAATGGGGATTTTTTTTCAATATTGACACATCTATCCCAGTTGCTACCAACCATCAGATCAGATGACAATACTTCATATCGGTTATGATAAAAATTTACAGGGGATGGATGATCTCGCAAACGAGAATGGATTAAGTATAAATATCAGACCCAGTGCAACATGCAATTCGGAGTAGTGATGTCACCACCAATCACTACAAGTATAAAAGCACAACTGTATTAATACAGTTAATCAGGCAGACAGACATTGATATAAGAAAAAAAGAAGATAACACGAAGACTACTACGTGATGCATTAAACGAAAAATAAAATTTCTAATGAGACAACATAAGAAAACGTAACTACGTACCTGTAGATAGCTTTCAAAGACTTCACATTTACTTTCAAGAAACTCCATTGAACGTGGTGTTAATTGACGCCGTGGTAATTGTTTTGTTATAAATGAACCATGAAATTCAGTCAACTTTTGCTCAAGAACATAGAATTCTGAATATTTTCTAAACACAAAAGACGAGAAAAGATTATTCAGTGAAATAAAGAATAGTAATAATAAAATTAATAAGATACAACTCCATGAATCAAGTGTGGCATTATCGTTTTTAGATATCGATTCGTTGGAAAAGACTTTCATTCACTGAACTAAGGGCTGACAAAATAAGCATATAGCCAGTCATTCAAAAACACGGCTTCCAAATGGACTGAGATTTGAACACATTCATTTTCACTGATTGAAGATGCCCATTAGAAATTTCATCATCAAGTTCTACAATTATGTATATACAGTGATATACAACTGCTGAGTTATATTGGCCGTTGCTCTAGGAACTTGATTTTTCGTGCTCAGGAACACACCTACCAGTGTGGCTAAAGGTGTAGTGAAAACCATCAACAGTTAGGTAATAGACCATCTAGTCCAAACTGGCCTCAAAGCTAGCATTGAAGAATCCTTTTCTATTATCCTTCCAGTACCAAATAAATTGCCGAAGACATCCACATACCGAACACTCCAAACAGCAGAGGCTATTCTAATTCACCTAAAACAACCGGTGCTCCGTATACAGAAGAAACAGGTCGAACCACTACTACTACCCTGGTGTCTGCTGTGGAGTGTGCAAATTTATAAATACCTTATTAAGTCGGCATTTTTTATATGGCCCTCCATCTTGTACTTATAAATCCCCCTACCCCTCGTCCTTACACTTGCATTAACTAACCTTTGGTTGTTTTCTTATTAAAACGTAGTTGTTAACTTATACACTGACACACATACAACGCGCACATAACCTTCTACCCCAAATTTAATCCTCCCTCACCCCCCCGGACCTTAACATGATCAATAATTCATTTGAAGTTTATAATCAGTATGAATAGAATTTAAAATGTGAACATGACTAATGAGAATTTATTACTATACATTCGTTATCATTCATAATCATTTACTATGTAATACTGATATTCAATTTAGTTTTATACGTACAATTATGCATATTACCACATACACACATATATTTTCGACTATAATCCATCAAAAATCCATTCGCAAATAACTTTCGGGATTCTGATTTAAATGATTGATGTTACTTCCAAAAAACAATGACGTTGTAAACAACATTCTTTCATTATTATTATATATATAGCTGTAGAGTCTGATAAGGCAGTTATCGAAAGGAATATTCTTTGAACAGTAATCAATCTTTTGACATTTTAGTATATTTTGACAGTCTAGTAACATGCCATGAACTGTCAGTCATAAGTCAATCCCCCACCTTTTGATTCAACCGGTATATTCAGTTTGAATAAAGATAATAATTTTCAAGTGTTATTATTATTGTATCCTTTAATTTCTAGAGGAACATAGGGCTTCAGCTGCGTGTCTCGATTGCCTTCGGTTTTCTGCCAACTTTTTCACCCCGCTCCAAGTCTGCCAATGTGCTTTCATCTCCTCTTCACATGACCTCCTCCAAGTCACCCTCGCACTGACGACCAACTCGCCGCTTCCCTTTCGGCCTGGTTCCACTCGAGCGATGGCTTGTCTAGTGATGTCACTTGGTGGTTTGTTTTCTCAGAGTATGGCCAATCCATCTCCATTTCTTCCTGCCTATTTGTTTCAAGTATTACTTCGTAGGAATTCGATTGGTTGCAAGTTCGATCACGAAATGATATGAGTTAGAGAGCCGTTGAAAACCATAAGATATGGAAAACTGTTTCTCCCTAATTCGAAACTCTTCATCAGTACACGCACATGACTCCACCGGGGATTAGGAGGTGAGCTCATTGAACATTCACGATCGTCGGGGACAGAATCCAATGGCCCATGAACTCTAACTTCTGTCAATTCGCGGTTTTTAGCTCCATCACCAACCACCAATGTAAGGGGAAGAGTATTTCCTCTTCGTGTCAGACGTGATGACCCCACACTGGTCACGAATTCTCACTTAGAACTATATGCAACTTCATCCTGTAGCCAGTCAGTGGTGAGCATCAGCTTCAGTAAACTTGAAAGATACTAATAATAAACAATTCTTAAAAATATTTTACTGAAATTTTTTTGAAACAAAGAAATCACATGTCGACGCATAGTATGCATATTGATCGATAATTTCGCTCAGTTAGCTAATCAATCAATGACTTATGCTTTCTCATCATTTGATTGGTCAAAAATTTCTTTAGTCAGTGATTTTCAACTTGGAAGAGTTAATTAAAGTGAGAGCATCTTAGCAGAAAATCACGACGGTATATATGTGGTGAAATTCAAGTGTTTTGTAGCTGAGATGGGCGACATACAAAGTATCATTGAGATCACATAGGCTGACTCTACTATATGCCATTATATTTCTTTAGATGAGAAAGAACTTATGAACTGGGAGTAAATTGAGACAAAAGTGTACAATAATACGCGAGGTGAATCAATAGGCAAAAACATTCTCAAGTAGTCACCTCCAAACATGGATGAGTCGATCTACAAGACAATAAGGGTAGGCATTTAAATATATGTATATATTATTGAGTCATACAAGAAATGAATACTCACCGTGTCACTCTAGCAACTTGTCTTCGTACACCATTGATAACAGTTTCAGTAATAACATTGAACATAAACTGTGGCGATAGTTGTGGCATTGAATTGGTAGTGTTAGTAATGGTAGACTGTGTCAATACAGGTGGACCAATCAAATTGTTCAATTCATTTGATATTTTATTTTTATAGCCTACATCACGTACAGCTGTTGTCGATATGGGAATAAAATTACTACTTGTCAGAGAGTTATTATTGATTGGAATCGAATTACTCATTGACGAGGGTAAATGATTAATTTGATTAGTATGTGATATAGTAGCACTCATAGTAGTGGCGGTAGTAGCAGAAACACTGGACATAACTGGAGTACTACCCAATAAAGTCATTGTCCCCACTGGGAGACGAGTCGATTGTGATACTTCAGGTCGTGATAAACCGCGTATATGCACAGTACACTTAGAAAGATCGATTTGTTGTGATCTCTCAGGCAGATGTTTTATGCCTGAGACATGTTGATTTATCAATAACTCTTCTGGAGTACTATTCATATTGACATTATACCGACTGGACTGTTCACTGATAACACTGCCAAGACGATCTCTTTGATTACGACGTGTTGAAGCGACAGACATTCGTGAACTATCAGAGCTTCCAGATGATTGACCATCAGCTGTAACAAACAAAAAATCAATGATTTTCAGTTTAGAAAATTGCAAGACAACGTCAGAGTGTCATCGAGACTTAAGTATTAACCTGACTTCTGATACTACAAGGTGAGTAACACAAAAAGCGAATAGGTGGTGGATCAATACACTCACTTTCTTCGAACATGAAATTCTAAACTCATTCACTTGTTTCGTATACAATACCTGAGATATCTTGAATGTAACAAAGATTCAACTATTCGAGTGAACTGTTATTACATGATTGGAGGCAACAGGCAGGAAGCCTTGGGACCTAGGTTTCATGCTAATCAGCACTTGTCGGCATGCCGTACCCGGGATCTTGAAGGAACTCATGCCCTTCTGAGATTAGAACCTGCATTACCCAGTGCTGCGATCACAGACTTCACCCAGTGAGCTATTCAGACTCGCGACTGACCTCCGTTAGGACTGTATTGGCTGCTTTGACTGGGCACTAGTTATTGCCAAATAGCACGAAACATAGGGCCGAGGCTTTTTGTAGATTGCCTCTAACCAAATAATATCAAAAATTCAAAGTGTACCGTGATGGTGAGCCACCTGAAATAGTGGCCATATTGCAAACTTGACTGATAGAATTCAGTCTGTACCAAACAAAGGACTAGACACATTACACTACTGAATAAATAGTTGCGATACGTATTTGTATATTCTAAGATACCAGAAGCAGAAGTCAACTGGGAGATCCAATTAAAATCCTTCACATTTATTACTGCTTTGGTATAATTTCACTGTATGTTGAATTCACACCGACGACAAGCAAAACTAAGTGTAAGTCATAGAAGTTGGCGTGAAATCGAAGGAAGGCTGTATAGTACAGAAGTTTGCTCCGTCTTTCTTTATGGCTGTGAGACATCGCTATTGGAATTTGAAGACATGAAAAGGCTATTTGTCTTTGATCATAAGTGTCTGAATTCTATCTTCCGTGTTAGGTGGTATAATATGATGAGTAATATTGAGGTTAGGCTTCGACTATTAGCTAAGGAGAGAAAGTCAATCAATGAGGTTGTGAAGCTACATCGATTGAAATGGCTAGGATATACGTTACGTATCCCTAGCCTAGCCATTACCTTCTTCATCAGCCATTGTTTACCGACAAAGGATTAGGCTGAAAAAGAGCTAGTAGTGGTTAGTCTAAAACATAACATCAGTCCGTAGAATCTTTAACAGTTAGGTTGAGCCACACAGAGAGGCGTAGACTGTCTGGTTGGGTCCTTAGGATTCTAATGACTAATGAGCGGAGACTATTGATGATATGGTTCAAAACTGTTCTCAATGCGGCACATGTGTTCACTCTGTGCTCTGCCAAATCCACTAAATCCATGTTACCATTCTCTCTCCTCCACATTTCTGACTATGATTGTCGTTTTTCATCCATTTTCTTGTCTATTTTGTCTACCTTTGTGTCCTACATGGAATGTGGCAACTTGAACTGCTGCACTCCTGTGCAAAGTCCTACCTTGAAACCAGTCAGTCAGTCAGCCAGTCTGATTTCGCAAGCTCAAGTGTAACACACCTTTATATAATAATAAAAAAATGAATTCATTTTCAACAGATTTACCAAAATAGTGATGTGATTAATTGAAGGAATAATGATAGCCATAGAGGTTTGAATCAAGAAACAGTTATCGATGGACGTTACAGTATCAAAAACAACCACTTAATTCCGTTAAGGTTTCCAAAGGTTTTATAAGTTTAGGCTGTTGAAAAAAAGATTTTGAAAGGCCTGAATTTTTGAGAGATAAACTCTAATTCCCACATGGATTTTGCTTCACTAGCATCAATATGAAGTAGAAACTATTCTTATGCTACTATACGATATCTAACGAAGAATTTCATATAAACGTGATAGTTTAAGTGATTGCATTTCGCAAGGATGCAGGTAGATACCAGGAAAAAAGTCATAGACACCAAAACAAACAGTGAGAAAATCTTTACAAGAAATTCTAAAAAGCTATGTTTACGAATCATGGAATGAATCATGAATCCCGCACCAGGCCCTCTCTCGAGCAGAACCTGAATGGGAAACGACAATTGGGACGTCCGAAGGTGACATAGAGGATATTGTATGGGGATGGGAAGAGAGGCTAAGGGCAATGGTGAGGTCAGATAAAGAGGACTGCAGGGAACAAGACAAAAAAGAGATGTGCTGCTGAAGCCCGACGTTCCACTCGGAAACCCAAGGGAACAATAATCATACTAATATAACCGTTTGGATTAAATAACCAACGAAGGTTTACAAATCGTTGTAGACGGCATGAATGCATGTTTGCTATCTTAGCAAGTATCAAGGGTGCTTATGCACTCGTCACACCAAGAGTTTAGTCAAAGTTATCCTATCTTAAATGTCATAGACTTATCACTATCTTTATTCAAACGCTACGAGTAATATTAGCAGAACATCTATCGTGAATGTTTACAGCTTGCTCAAACTCTAAGAGAAACAAAATACAAGGCTAAAACTCAACGCATTTCGTGTTTAGATGTACTAAACAAGTTCCAAAACAGATAATCAATAAAAATCTGAGTTTTATAGACAAATTATGAAGAATAAGCTATCAAGATTTTAGACAAACACTTACTATACATGCATTATTGATCAGTCATTTAGAGACTAATAATCAAAAACACATGCAACATGTGACAGACACTATCATCCTATTGCTTATTCTTGTGATTAGTTTCGTTCTTCAGTTAGACAGATTTATCTGAATAGATGAAGTTTGAATACATATTGTTCCTTTAACACAATAACATTTTCACAATAATCCTGAATAGCCCTGTATGATTGCCAACGCTACACAGATTGGAGTTAATTGAAAACACAACGCGAAAAAAAACGCAACACTAAGTTAATATGTTCATAATTGGGGTAAATGTGAAATCCCAAAATGAAGGTAACGGTACAGTAACAATATTTATGACTGCAGTAGGATAAACCAATTGGATTCAGAAAGGAATCAGTTATGCATTTCTATAACCGCTGTTCATTTGTATTTACATAGGAAATAAAAAACCTTTTGGCACGCAGTATCAAACATTTATTCATACAAAAAATATAGCTAAAGTATATACCCGACCGAAAGCTGCTACCTTGACGTGGTGGTCGGGCTTGAACACCGCAATGACCTAATCAAGCTATACTGGCTGAGACTTATGTCTCTTGAGGTTCTACCATGCCAGGCAGGTTGTTTGGATAGCGGTTAAACAAAAAGCAGCTACCCAATCCAACATCATGTCCAATACAAAATTACAAAATTTCATGCCGGATCGGCCGTGGCCCGGATTAACAACGACCGCGCTTCCTGCTGCCGTGTCACAGGGCGGGAGTGATAAATCTGCTACTGAGACACACCAAACAAAAAAGAACGAACAAAAACAGGCCGCGTGTGACCGGCCTCAAGCAGTTGTCCCCTGGGCTCTGCGGTCACGCAACCAACTTCCACGGTGTGGGCAGCCGGGAAGTAACAATCGCCCTCACAATCCGAAATGCACACGAAACCTCTCTATTACTCACTCATCTTTGTCTTCATCTTCATCTCTATCATCTTGCCTTCCTTCCACTGATGCAACTCCTCGACTTGATAGCTCTCCACTTCCTCTCCACTCTGCGTCCACTAAAAACGATGGAAGCCAAAAAACCACCACCGACAGCCTCTTAAAGCCGCGCCACCAATTTCATATAGGAGCTCTTAATGTTAGGACACTTTGCCAAATAGGACAACAAGCATCACTAGCCAAGACCCTGGCATCACGAGCCATTGATGTATGCTGTGTTTCAGAAACACGCATACAAGACCCAAGTGTGGTTATTCACCTAACCCCACCTGGCCAACAGGTTGAATCTGCAAAATTCACCTTGAGGGTGTCAGGAGATGCCACAGCTAGTTCACGAGGATTAGCTGGCGTAGGGATAGCTTTGAGTACTAGGGCAGAAAAGACATTGCTTGACTGGATCCCGGTAGATAGCCGAATGTGTGCTGTCCGCCTGAACGGATCAGTAAGAAGGAGGAAGGACTGCACTACTCGCCGATGCCTTTTCGTAATCTCCGCCTACGCCCCCACTGACTGCAGTTCAGATGAAACGAAGGATGAGTTCTACCAAAAGCTGTCTAGTTTGGTGGAAAGGCTAAACGCTCAGACATAGTCGTTCTAGCTGGTGACTTTAACGCTCAAGTAGGGAAATTGTGTCAATCTGAGAAGGATGTCGGTGGCACCTATGGAGCTCCGTGCCAGCGAACCGACAACGGTGACCGTCTCCTACAGTTCTGCTCTGATAATCATTTGTTTCTTGTAAGCACTAACTTTAAACACAAGGAGAGACACTGTTTGACTTGGAGACCCCCTTCATCAAACCAACGCTGGACACAAATAGACCACATAGCAATAAGCTATCGTTGGCGTGGGTCGGTAGGAGATTGTCGCTCCTTCTGGAACACGTGCGTAGATACCGACCATGCACTGGTCCGCGCTCGGGTGTGCTTACGACTGAACGGACGTAGGAAACAGCTGGCGGTAAAACCATCACGTCCCCAGCTCGATCAGGAAACTAAATCCGTATTTCAGGAAGAACTAGCTAAACACATATCTGTGTTCGACAGCTGTGCTCACCCTGAAGAAGCTTGGAAAAATATCCAGGCAGCCATAGATACAGCTGTAAAAGCTGTGAATAAGGTAAACCCAAAGGTGAGTAAAAACCACTGGATCTCCACCGCCTCATCCGAACTGATAGATGCTAGAAGACTTATTCCGGCGAGCTCCGAATTCAATGAGGAGCGAAAGCTGCACAAGAGGAAACTTACGAAAAGTCTCCGCAAGGACCGTGAACAGTGGTGGGCGACAAAAGCCAAAGAGATGGAGAAAGCTTGAGGATAGGCAACACCAGGCAACTCTTTGGACTCATCAGGGAAACGGGTGGGAGAAGACAAATCATTAGTGAGACAATCTCGGAAAAAAATGGCACTATAAT